TGGAAGACATTAAGTGCTATTTAAGTTGATAGCTGCACTTTTTATGCTAATGACATTATAATACTGTCAAAATGTAAGGTTATGTCATGCAATCGGAAATTTTATTTTTCGATTTTTTATTTGGATTATCTGCGTTAAATTTTGCTGTTGTTTGTATCCGGTTTTCGCAACTTTATCGCTATAAGTAGATTTTATTTTTAAAATTTTAAAACAATTTTCTGCATTTTTTTCCATTTTAAATGATAATTTTTTCCATTAAAATTTTCTTTTTTTGAAATTTAAATTATATTTTTTGAAAAAAAAAAAAATATTCTGTGAGAAAATATAAAGTAAGGTTTTCTTAGAATCAGCGTAGAAGAAACTTTAGGACAAATTATCAAATATTTTGCCAAAAAAGTATCAATCTTTTTCATGTTTAAAGTGACTAAATTTTTTTAATTTTTTCTTTGTTCGTTAAAAGTATATTTTCTCTTTGTTCAAAGTAAGTTTAAATGCATTAAGTTTGACACACATAGTTTTAAATTTTCAGTTTTATTTTTCCCGAATAAAATGCTTCGTAAATGGCAATCGTTCGATGACAAGCTATACTAACCGGCGACACACGTCAGCAGAATGGGTCTGACAGATCGAGAAGACTTCGGGAAATATATACAGCAAGTCACCAAGGAAACAATGGAGCAGCTCTTGTGAACTTGGCAAGTGTACGCTGTAATCATCTGGAGTCAACACAATATGATACACTGGAGAAGGTATCAATAGTGAGGTCACAGAGTCTGTTGAAATTCGAGTCAAGCACTGGCATCCTGAAGGAGGGAGGAGTACCTCGTGGACCTAGTAACTGAACTCCATTTGGTTGCAAAAAGAACCAAACTGGTCTATGCCTGGCTCATTAACCTACCAGATTAACCTAACCTAACAAATTTTAAGAAAGCGTAAAGTTTGGCAACTGTCAAAAAGGGCTTCATCGAATAGATGAGATAGAAGGTCACCCTTTTTTGCACAGATATATTGTCGCGAATTCTAACACTCTTATATATTAACTAGCACTGCATTTATGGCACTTTAATGTAGAAAGTTATTTTCAGGAGCTTTTCTTTGAAAATGTTAATAAAGCAACAAAGTAAGCGCCTCATTAAACCTTTTAATTACCCAACTTAGGTGGGGTAATGACTCATTTAAAGTTCACATGTTCATACAAGTTCATAATTCATATATATATATGGATGTATATATGTAATGAGCTGGTGAGATTAGCTCACAAAGGTATCATATACCGTACTCCTTTTAAGGCCAAAAATGTCCAACAAATGTCGCGCAAAATAAAAAAAGCAATACACACCGCTATGACTGGCAAAACTGTATATATTTACATTTTTCTCATATTTCATAAACCAAATTACGCGGCTGCCAATTTTTTTATTGGCGTGTGTAGCAGTGGCTGTGCGTGTGCAGGCGTTAATGTGAAATATCGCCGTTGTTCTTTGGCCTTCCACCTATGCTTCCTGAAAATTTCCTTTCTCCCTTCCATGCGCTTTTTTCGTGCCAGCTTTAAGGGGCTATACCAGTGTGACCATTTCAAAAAATTTTTTTTTTTTTTCGATAGTTTATATATTCAAAAATGTCTTTTGAAATCGGGAAGGCCGTATCTTGAATAGTTTTCGGATTACAGCGTTCTAAAGAGCGACCGCTCGGAGGTATAATGATATATGAGTGAAACTTTAAACGCGTTTTTCTCGAAACGACATTTTTCAAAATTGCTGACATCATAACTCAACAAGAAATTTACCGATCGACTTCAAATTAAAACTGGGCATAGTTGAATGCATTTGCTATGCAATTGAAAATTGTGAATTTGGCATTAAAAAAACGACAATTTTTCGTAAAAACAAACGATTTTTTTTTTTCAAAATTACGGCATTTTCTTTATATTTGATATTTTTCAAAGATCGTAGTTCACTGTAAGAAAATATATTTAGTTTAATACACATTTCGATTTTTTTTGTTTCAGCTACTCATTCGACCGGAATCATGCCAGCAGTTGAGGCACTTTTTTCGGCACTTCTGCAGACAGCGCATAACTCAATATTTTTTTAATACAACTAAAAATATACTTAATTACGTCCATAGAACGTCGAAACATTCAATCTAATACTTTCTTTTAAACAAATTCAGGAAAATCGCCTAATTTTTCATGCGTCACACTGGTATGGCCCCTTAAGCACATAACCTGAATTCGGTCGCTCGTCATGGTGTTTCGAGCGTGAAAACTGCGCAACAAAAAGTGCCGCTTGCCTCACGGAGCACAGGAATTTCCGCGCGCAAGTATATGCGCTTATGTGCGTGCTGGCCACATGTGTGGGGCAGGTGCAGGCGCAAGACCGAATTTCAAAACTCATTAAGCCCGAAGAACAGCGAGCGGAAGGCTGCGTGCAGAACCCACAGCAGTCAACCTGCGTTAAGCAACCTTTTCGACTATGACAGGGGTCTAAAAAAAACCCAAAAAAGAGCTTGAAAGCGTAGTCAGCTGTGCACTGCTGCGTGTATGTGAGCGTCGCGCAAGAGCGCACATTGCATAAAAAACCATGCACATGTACACCCTTCGCACACACAACCGCAGTTTGAGCAGTAGCTTCCAGTAGCTAGTAAAAAACGCCGCTCACACACGTACAGGCGCTCGGTTAGGGATGCAAGGCGCTCTCTAGTAGGCAACAGGAAGCGATTACTTTTGCTTTTCGGCAGCTGAAAAAGTTTGCTTTATGCTCTGTCATTCAGTTTTTATATTTTACTTTTATTTTTCACATTTTAATTAAACTTGATTGCACTTAACTTCAGCGCACACATACGTACATGCATACATGCAGCGTGTCATATTTGCGGATTGTCTTCGTGAAGGCTGTCAGCAGTTTAACCCTCACGCACACATTATCCCATTTATTATCTATCATAACTCAATATCGGCGCACACATCTACGCAATTTCACCACTTTGCTCATTTTCGAATTACACTCGCATACACAAGTATGCCCCGACATGCGTGTAAATTCCGGGAGTTGTACATTTTTCGTGGATCGATATATGTTTGAAAGCTTGAGCTCCTTCTGAAAATGAGAATTCACAACTCCTGCGGGCTTCTCTTGACAAAGTTAAACATTGGAATTTCTTAGCATTGTTTGCAGCGAAATATTTTAATTAAGATACTTGTTCGTTCAGTTCCACAAGCCTAGGCCCTCAGGCCCTTAGATGTAGTAAATTCCAACTAAGTGCGCGTACAGTATGTGTGTGAATGTATCATGCGGCCAGATATGGCAGCCAATACAAATTTTTTAAAATTTTGTTTCTTGAGTTTAATTATTTGCTTCATCGAGCAAATAGAAGAAATGAATTTTTTTTACTAAAATGGTGAAAATTAAAAAAAAAATTGTATATTCTATGTTTTTGAAGATTTCAACTTATTCAAAAGTGTTCTATATCTTTCGACAATTTCACTAAACTGAGCAACTTATGGCTAGACCAAACCCAACAAAAAAACCTAACAAAATTAACGACGGAGACGGCCAATTAACTGAGTCATTTCGTGAGGTAAAATGTTCACCAAACTTGGTTTGCAATAAATCGTTTGTGACATTCGCTGTGTGGCTTGTGACGCCGTCCTGTTGGAATCAGTTATTGTCCAAGTCCATTTCATCTAATTCGGGACAAAAATATTCGGTTATGATTGGGCGGTAGCGATTCCCATTCACAGTAACATCCGGGTCTTGAGCATAGCGGACGAAGTACGGTACAATGACGCCATCGGCCCATAAACCTCACCAAACCGTAGTTTTTCGAAATGCAATGGTGACTCATGCAGTACGCACGAATGTACTTGCACAGGAATGAAGAATTTTATCGATATTCCAAACCGTTTTTGTTTTATTATAAAAAAACTTTTGTCGCGTTCTTATTGAAAACCCCGCTCTCAAAGTTGAGGCCACTGATTCCGAGTTTCGATAGTAAATTTTAATAATTTCGAGTCGTTGTTGGATCTTTCCATGATCAAATAACAAACGTTACTGAAGAGAAATGTCAAAAGAGTGGAAAAATATGGCGTCCTTTGATATCCCTATCGGTCTACTTTTGTAGTAGTCTAGTCTTATCAAAAGTCTCAGAAATATCGAAACAAGCGCGACGAAACTCGCATAACCTATATTCTTTTTTGTCTCCATCTTATCGAAAATCTACACAATTTGTACACAATTTCTGGAATCAAGTGGAATGTGCTCACAGAAGATTTTCATAGACTCGAGTGCACATTTTGGCTAATTTCCCTTTTAAATATTTTATTTTCATCATATTTTACTCTCTAATACTATGTTGTTATAAATTGTGTGTGTATGTATATAAACAATGCTGGGAAGCTTTTCTGCAAATTCCGGCATTTATTTGTTTTTAATTAGTCCCTTCCAGAGGCCTGCTGAATAATTTAATCGCTTAACTGACATTTATTGCCGATAGAAAAGCCAACACAACTCAATTGTTGTATTGATTAGATTGTTGTTGTGATTGTACGCGTTCGGTCAGCCGCACACGCCTCCCGCTTTTCGTTGTATACAATTCCGTTATCGCTCCCACTCACGCTCTTTCTCCCAATTTTTCTCTCCATCTCTCTCTTTTTCTCTCTTTTCGCACGGCACTCCAGCTCTGTGTGCCTCCAATTAATTTCACGTAAATCGCTTGTTGCTATTAATTTGCTTATTGGAGCGCATTCATCGCACTTATCGCCCAAAAACAATATCAATGGCAACTACAATAGCAACAAACACGTAATTTTATGATTATCAGGTGATGACAGTTTAATGACTTCATCAGTCGAACACAATCAACGAGCGGCCGCTTCAAATTAAATAGACTTTGTGTGGCCAGTGGCGCAGAGTATGCATAGTAAACAATTGAGCTACGTCTACACAATAACAAAAACACCAAATAAATTTTGTTTATAACGAAAATAAACACGGCATGAGAATGAGAGCTGGAAATTTGTGCAAAAATGTGCTAAATATATTTATTTTGATATTTACATATGCATATAGGTTTATATATGTGAGTGTTTGCGCACATTATTTTACTCCCCTTCCTTCATCGACTACCTTAGAACCACTCGCCGACAGCACGCAGCGTTATCTCTTGTACTTGCGCGTGCGGGGGCGTGGAGAGCGCATAGATTACTGCATTGGCGATATCGGCGGCCTGGAGTATAACATCACCTAGCTGAGCTTTCGTCTCGTCCGGCACGATTTCGGTGGACACCCAGCCGGGGCTGATATTCTGAAAAATCAAGAAACAATCATCATTCAAAAACTAGGGTTCTCCAATATCATATTTGTGCACTTACTGTCGTCTTGATCTTCGTCTTCAACGTGATCAACTCCTGTCGGCAAATCTCATTGACCGCATTCAGAGCGAACTTCGTCGGTGTATAGACGTTTAAGCTCGGTTCGTCCTTACCCGGATTGTAGCCCGCTAGACCGGCAGTACTGTTGATGAAAATTAAGTGACCGGGATAGTTGCGCTTTCGCATGCTTTTGAGCGCATTTTGCAAACAATAAATCGAGCCCATCAAATTGGTGTTGACCACATCACGTATATCGCTAACTGACATGTCGACTAGGTTGCCATCGCGCAGTATGCCCGCATTGCTGACGAGTATGTCGGTGCCACCCAGTGTCTGTTCGATCCAATCGAAGGCCTCGCTGACCTGCTGCTCCTGCGAAACATCGCACTGCCTGAAATGGAAGAACGGTTGCTGTTCGGTAGGCAGTGATTGCTTAAGCTCCTCCAGGCGGTGTACGCGCCGCGCCAGGCCCACCACTTTTATGCCAGCAGCCACAATCAACTTGGCACAGGCCGCACCAATGCCCGAACTGGCGCCGGTCACGACGGCTACACGATTTTGCCAGCGATTCATATTTTGGCGAATTTACAAGTTCCCCTCTTGATCAATCTAATTAAATCGTTTGCTAAGTGCTGCGCCGAGAGAGTACCAGTTGCGCGTGCTGTGTAGCGGCTACTGAATGAGGGCTGGTGGCACAACTGTGCATTTGCAATGTTTGCGAGCACAAACGACAACTGATAAGCTGATTAGCGAAGAGTGTTGCTGCGCAACACACAAACGACATGCATGTCTTTAGTTGTTGATTACCAGATTTATTTGGTTTATTTTTCAATGTACCAAAGGGACGCATATAAAGCGACAGACTCAGTTGTAAGCGCACAGTGTTGTTGTTTCAGCAAAAAAGTTGTGCAGAAAATTTAATGGAACACATTTTTATTTTAATTTCATAGTTTTTTATTTTAGTTTTATAGTTTGGTTTCCTTTTAACGGCACTATTTTTTGAACGTTGAAAATTTTAATAATTGGGACCGTTTCAAAAAAGAACTAAAATATAACACCTTGAGATACCCGATCAAATTCTTTTATAAAATAGGACTTATCGAATTTCTATCTTAAAAAATTTTCAAATATGATTCCAAAATCGGAAAAATTTAAGAAATCACTAGTTATTTCTCACACGACTTATCGAAAGCACATCGAAACTTTTGAACTCAGCCATCCATTAGGGACTATGGACTATATAATCTAATGTACACTTATTAAGACAGCTAACAGATATATATCGTTAATAGGTATATATAGCATGTATTTATATACATATTAGCGTGTCATACTTGGATTTACTATACTTAGATTACACATATTCACTATCTTTATCCGTCAGCATTACGTGTTCGTTTCCTACTGCTGGATTCATATAACATCCGATCATATGCAATTGTGCACAAATTTATTTATTTTATATTTACGTAAAATTAAAAAAAAAAATCAGTTGTAAAATATAAAATTAATAGGCCAAAAAAAAACAATTAAGGGGACACCCGGGTTTGAACCGGGGACCTCTCGATCTGCAGTCGAATGCTCTACCACTGAGCTATATCCCCACACAATACCATTTGAGTTTAAGAGGCACTAAAGCGAAATTAGATATATGTAGTTGGTTGTAGCAATTCCAATACGTACGTATGTATATGAGAAAATAAACCAAGCAAAACCAGCCATATACTATATTTCTAAAATACGTTTGTAGGTAGTGTTTCTTCTATAAGAATCAACAATTCAACGCAGGTGGGCTTTAGTATTATAGTGCATTTGGCCCAAATGTGTTTGGTGGGGATGTAGCTCAGATGGTAGAGCGCTCGCTTAGCATGTGAGAGGTACGGGGATCGATGCCCCGCATCTCCAAATAGTCACTTTTTTTTTTTTGTAATATTTATTTTCTTTAGGAATTACGAATATTTTGGACTGGCTTGTTTTACACATCTTTCCAAAATACGTATGTTATTTCAAAAATTAAAATGAAACTGCTAATAATTTGTGACAACATATAATAAATATAATTTTGTTCCGTCATTCTAATTCTTACATTCAGGCAATGTTTTCTCTTAATAGGTTTGAAAACTGTTCATGGATTTTTGGGTGGGTTTGATTCTTCGTTGTTTGGTTTTCTAGTTACTTACACAAAGTAAGAGCATAAGTTTAATGATATGCTCAAATGTTTTCTCTGAGGCAAAAATACTGAAACAAAATATTTACATTTGAAAGTTCAGCTTTTAAATTTGATCAGAATCTTCAATTTGTTCTGAAACTGCAGGTATTTTGAACTCGTCCTTCCTTATCCGCAAAATAAGTAAGAGCATATCAATGTTGGCATTTAATGTACCCAAATATGTTTGTCTACAAATGGTAACATATGTACATATAAACTGAATAGCTCATTATGTAGGATATGCTAAATTTTGCTAATGGTGAAATACCCACGTGTGGTGCTAAATAGTACAATTTTGAGTAAAATTTTGTGCGGCTCAATGGTCTAGGGGTATGATTCTCGCTTTGGGTGCGAGAGGTCCCGGGTTCAAATCCCGGTTGAGCCCAGTAGACTTTTTTATTTTCCTTTCACAGTTTTTTTAAACTTATTAATTAAAAAAAAGCTTGAATAAATATTTCCAATGTAAATTATAAGTATGCTAAGCTTAATATATTATTAGTAAATCGTATAATTTCCGTTAACAAGTACTCCAAAAGATATATTAAGTGCAACCATTGAGAGAGTAGCATAGCGAAAAAAGACAAATCTGATGGTGGAATTTTTTAATTCTTCTCCTTAACTAGCGTATACACCTCTTACTCGTTTATAGCCGAGTTATATTTTTCTTTTTTTTAACGTGGCGGGTGCCAAACTCAGCTCACAACCCTGCGGAGGGGATCTTTCGCCTTCTCACTTTAGCTCGCCTTCAAACGGATGTTCTCTTGCTACCCAGATGATACTTGGACTAGGACCGGAAGTTGTGAGCTGCTTAAGTCATATGTAAAAGAATCGTTTCCGCCCACTACAAAGTGAATGGCAATCAGAGAATTTCCCTCACTTGCGTGAACTCCATGCTCCAACAACTTATGAAATAATAAAATAGAAACATATAATAATAATATGAGAAATAATTTCATATTTCACAATACTTCGTTTACCAATAAACCGTATATGATATGATGAAACTGAATTAAAAAGGTTTAAATAATAATTTGCAGCCAAATTTTGAATTTGAAAATATTCTAAAAAAGTAAAAAAAAGGTTATTAAGGGGACACCCGGGTTTGAACCGGGGACCTCTCGATCTGCAGTCGAATGCTCTACCACTGAGCTATATCCCCAATTGGGGCTTCTCCGTCAAAATGCACACAAAACAATTTCCTATTGGGGATAAATGACTGAGCTGTCACTGTACCCTACATACAGTGGCGCTTCACTGTGTATGTGAGGCAAGAACAATTCTAACTACCTTCTTGCTGTTCTTCATTATTTTATTGGTCTACTAAAGTCATTTGCAAGTTTTAATAGGTTGTATCGCAACACGAAAAATCATATACACTTTAATTCTGAAATCGTTTGACAAAGATTAAACATTTATTTACGATTTGCCATCAACGGATGACAATAATTCACGTTTTCCTATTATAAAGGGTTGGAGTTAGTATGTAATTTGAAATTCTGTAATTTTTATACAAAGGTTCTTGCGTGTATGTAATCATTCTTTCTTTGTCAATAAAATACAATTACTATTGGCAAACTGTTGGGCTTGCACTCAGACATTTACTTGTTGATTTAGCTATTAATTAATGATCATAACGGCGATGACAGAGTTCAGAAAATCTTTGAATGCTTAGTGGTATTGAAAATGAATGAAACACTAGATTGTTTGCCTACGGTTAAACTTTATTGAAGTTTAAAATCGACAATTTCAAAAAGACGATCAAACGGTCGAATATCGTGGCAAAAGTGAGCCGAGCCGAAAAACCACGTCAAAGCAGGTCAAAAATCAAGCTTATGTCAACAGTTTTCTTCGATTATCGAGGTGTGGTACACTCCGAGTTCTCTCCGGCTAGGCAAACTGTCAATAGAAATACTTTTTGAGTTTTGTGGGTAGTTTTCGTCAAGCTTTTCGTGCAAGAGCCGTAATTATGGGCCGACAACTATTGGTTTTTGCACCACGATAATCCACCGTCGCATATTGTATTGATTCTTCGTGAGCTCAAACTCAAACGACCGCTTTGGGGAAGCCGTTTTGAAACAATTGAGTACATTAAACTTGAATATTTCGTTCTGCTTCGGGATATACTTTTATTATTAAACATTAGTCATAATCATGAGAAATAATTAAATATTTCACAACACTTTGCTTACCAATCAGCCATATGTGATATGATGGAATTGAATTAAAAGCATTTAAATAATAATTTACAGCCAAATTTTGAATTTCAAAATATTCTAAAAAAAAACAAAAAAAAGTTATTAAGGGGACACCCGGGTTTGAACCGGGGACCTCTCGATCTGCAGTCGAATGCTCTACCACTGAGCTATATCCCCATATTAAATATTTTCGCCAAAACGGTATTTCAATATGCACTGCTTGTACGTGTAGAATATTCTATTTCATTCAGTTGGGTTTATTCTGCTTTTGCTTTTGTCTTTTCTTTCTTTTGAATTTGTATTTGAAAACGGTTCAGCTTGTGGTGAGAATGAAGTCATTAACATTTCCTCTGAACAGAGATATAACAGATCTGTTTTATGTTAACAGCCTTTCTCTTTAGAATTCCGAAGCACCGTTGTTGGTAATAAATTTAGGCACTATGATGTTCTTTAAATTAATTAAGGGAATATGTGGGTTCCATCAGATAAAAAACAGTCTTTTTTCAAAAATTTTTTTCTCATATAGAAATGAAATATTTGAGTACATTTTTTTGTTGTTACAAACATACCCTATTAACAAAGAAATTCTGAAAAAATATATATATTTTAAACTCGGCCATTGCGAAGCCACTTCCGGTGACCCCTTGGAAAAAAGCTAAGTTCGCGTAACACAACTCCTTACAGGATCATCTAAAGTGAACCGCTTATCAACTAAAATTATTATTAGTATCGTAGTTTTGAAGAAATGTTTTAAGCAGACATAATCCTTTCTACCCATCCCGCATTAAACAAATTTCATAAATTATACTCATCCCACCAGGGCTACGTTCGAACAGGCCGAAATAACACACCTTTCGCTTTGTATAATATAATCAGGATTTTTTAAAACGATTTCTTTGGTAATAAATATGTTGCATTAATTTTGTCCTTTGCTTGGACTAAAAAAGTTGAGTGATATTTTCTCTATTTTTTTTAGGTTAGTTTGTTCTTTCCTTTAATGTCGTCTTCTAAGCGGAAAAAACATTTTCTACCCTTTTCAAAACGCAAGGGTGAGAGTTGCCTAGTAGAGGTTTATTTATAATTTTTAATGTTTTATAAATGAGGTTCGCTAAATAACGGGTGATCCAAATAGAGGTACTTTCTTCAATTGTCTATTTTTGACTGATCATCCGCGAGTATTTCAAGTATTTTTTTCAATATTGGACTTACGCCTGAACGTAAGCGTTGTTCAACTTTATTAAGCAAATTCACGTTCTGTAAAGAATATGTTTAGCGCGCTT